TTTCTTCTCCAATACTAAAACTGGTGCTGTTAAACAGGAACAAATTAGATATTAAGTATTATGCATTTAAAGACTTGAGATCCGAAACTAGTTATATTAGTTAAATTAGAAGAAGAATAAGAAGTTCGGTCATTAAAAATGCCATCTCAAAATGTCAAACATTTACAAGGTATAAATTTAAATAAAAAGCCAAAATAAGTGAACATTAAAATATAGGAATGATTTAGCAATACAGCATAATATATTTAATGTAAGAAATTATCCATTACTTCAACATTTAACTACATTTAAAGATAAATATCTAACCCACGCCAAAAAGACCTCCTTTTCCTCACGCTGACCAAATTCCCGCTCTACCTCCAAGTAGAAGAGTATTCAGCATTAATAAAAATTAGCGCAAAGATATGAAAACATCAGAAAGTGATAAATAACCAAAAAGATGTATTTCGGACCCTACTACATAATTAGAATAGTCGAGCGTGCTGTCCTACCGACAGCTCTTGTCTTGGGAAATATAGTGTAGGCTGCAGTCTATAAGAAGTTATGTCATTGAAAGTAAAACAAAAGCAACCTTTTCTGGCATGTTTACAGTGTTAACGGTTACAACCTTGACTCAGGAGTATGAATGCTCTTGAACCAACTCTTTAAAGGAACTCCACCGAGGTCTTAGAGCCAAAAAACATAAAATTTAAAAATCCTCCCTAGATCAGACTTGGCACTTAGAACTTAATAGTATAAAGCAGATAATAAATAAATATCACATCAAGAATTCAATTGTAAATAGAAATTTTGTGTGTTTCTTAGGTCAAATTGAGTTAAAAGCATTAATTTTAGTTTTTTAGCCCAATTTGAGTTAAAAGCATTTTCATTGTATGTCATTTTACGCAATAAAAAAATAATAATAATGGGAAATGCTGTAGACTTGCATTAAATAGTATTAAATTGTTTAAAAATTATTTCAAATCCTGTTGTGTCAAAATAGCCCAGTGGTGACCCTTTGAACTCTATATGAGCTATTTTGATCAGCAGGTGTCTTTTATTAATTCTTTACTTGGAACAACACCTCCTTTGATAACAAACAAACAAACTCTCATTGTATTGCTTAAAGGCAGTGGTACCCTGGAAATACAAAGAATTCTAGAGATTTTTAAAATTATCCTTAAGGAGAAAAGAAATATTTATTTTAGATATCTGCTTTCTTGTAATGACTATGATTAACTTTGATATTTCCGGGTTTTATAAAAACCATATATGTTACTTCTGTAAACTGGAAAAGAATGTTATTCTTCGGCAGCTATCATTAAATTTCAAGGATGCTTTGCAGTGGCATTGTGTTTTGCAAGTTATTTGTAGTGTTTTCTTCAAACTTACAATGTAAGTGCCAGAATTTGACAAAATGTAATTATCACTTTTGATGAGTCATTGTTTTAGTGTTTTTGTTGCGGTTTTCTTTTTACATAAAAGTAATCGTGAAATGACTACATGGCAATGACCATAAAAAAGTTAACATTTCCCCTTCCTCTTTTATCCCGCTATCATCATATTAGGCAAGTATGGATTTTATGGGGAAAACAGGAAATGTGTATTATCAGCTGATAAATATGAATGCTTTTATACTTAGTTTACTAAAATTTCTCAATTTTCTTATTGTTGCCACTAACAGCCCAATGCAAAAGCCATGGGCTGTTTTGCAAAAATGTGAACCGAAGCTGCCTTAAGCTGATTGAGTTATGAAACAAGGTCAGATTATAGTTCTGCATTGAATAATTACAATGCTATGATGACATTGCAAATATATGTATTCTTATGTTACCATGGTAATCATAAATTTTGCCTGATTCTATATTTTTGCTGATAATTATCATAATTATGTTCAATTATTCCTTCATGGAAAATATTTTCCTTTATAGGAGAAATTTAATGGGAAGATGATTATCGTTATTTGATTATAAGCTTTTCAATAGATATTTAAATTATTATTATATTTTGATAATTTCACAGTGAAATTATATTTTGATGATATCACAGTGAAATTATATTTTGATAGTTTTACAGTGATTTATTAAATTTTTCACAGTAAAATTATATTTTAATTATTTAAGTGAAATTATTTTTTGATAATTTCACAGTGAAACTTTATTTTGATTATTTCACAATGAAATTATTTTTTGATAATTTCACATTGAAAGTATATTTTGATTATTTCACAGTGAAATTATATAGAGGATATTGAATGAGTGTAAGAACAATACTGAATGTACTGCACAAGTTGAATACAATTATATTATGCAAGCCTCTGACAAGCATAATATTATTTTATTCAACGAGTTCAATGAATTCAGTAATGAACTTACATGAATTTAATATTTTATTTATCACATACCGAAAATAGTCAAAAATAGAAATTTTTCATTGATGTGTCTATAGTATAACGCTAACATTTAGCGGGTCATTATACTATGTTTGTGTAACGCTAATGACATCACATCAAAATATATGCATGGCCCTGCAATACCATTTTAACAGAGTCGCAAAATTGGCACGGGTGTATGATAAATTATGATTATTTCACACTGAAATTATATTTTGATTTTTATGCCACCGCCATATAATGGCAGGGGCATATAGTGTTACCCTGTTCGGTCATTCCGTCATTCCGTCATTCCATCATTCCATCCTTCCATCCTTCCTTCATCATCAGTTTCCGTTCATTATCATAATAACCGTTGCACATATTGAACTCAAATTTGACATGGATATGCCATGAGAAAAACAGGTCAAGTTCGAATTTGGTCATGGTTCGATGATTTTTGGCAGAGTCATGCCCCTTTTACTTTGAAAATAATATGAAATTTTCTGTTTCCGTTCATTATCTCCCCAACGGTACAACACATTTGACTCAAAATTGACATATGGATATGTCATGAGAAAATACATGTTAAGTTAGAATTTGGTCATGGTTAGATGATTTTTGGCAGAGTTATGCCCCTTTTACTTTGAAAAGAATATGAAATTTTCAGTTTCCGTTCATTATCTCCCAAATGGTATAAAACATTCAACTCAAACTTGACATATGGATATGTCATGAGAAAATACAGGTCAAGTACGAATTTGGTCATGGTTTGATGATTTTTGGCAGAGTTTTGCCCCTTTTACTTTGAAAATAATATGAAATTTTCAGTTTCCGTTCATTATCTCCCCAACGCAAGAACACATTCAACTCAAACTTTACATATGGATACGTCAAAGGAATGCGTAGGTCAACTTAAAATTTGGTCATGGTTTGATGATTTTTGGCAGAGTTATGCCCCTTTCACATAAAAAATAATATGAAATTTTTAGTTTCCGTTTATTATCTCCCCAACAGTATTACACATTCAACTCAAATTTAACAGATGGATATGTTTTTGGAATGCCCAGGCCAAGTTCGAATTTGGTCATGGTTCAATGATTGATTTTTGGCAGAGTAATGCTCCTTTCACTTTGAAAATAATTTGAAATTTACAGTTTCTGTTCATTATCTACCCAACTACTCAAATTTGACATATGAATATGTCAAAGGAATGCGCAGGTCAAGTTGGAATTTGGTCATGGTTTGATGACTTTTTGGCAGAGTTATGTCCCTTTCACTTTGAAAATAATATAGATACATCTTAGGAATAAGCAGTTTAAGTTTCAATTTGGTCGTGGTTCAATGATTTTGGACAAACTTATCTTTCCTGAATGTTGGAAAAATTTTGAACTTTCAGTTTCAGCACTCATACTTTTGTGGAAATGTATGTAGCCATTATTTTGGCTACAAATATGCTATTTTTAAAAGGTTAAGACTGAACAATTTCAATGCCTTGAACATTGTATAAAATGGTTTGTGTTAACATTGAAAAGTTTTAAGGGCTTTGAACACTTAGAATGAAAAAAAAATTTGTGCAAACAAATATGGAACTAAATATTATAACATTTGAAATTTTGGCTGCATGCGGGGGCATCGGTGGCATGATGACACATTTCTTGTTTCACTGTGAAATTATATCTCTTGATAATTTCACAGTGAAATTACAATTTTCTAAGTGAAATTATATTTGGCTTTTTTCACAGCGAAGTTATATTTTGATAATTTCACAGTGAAATTATATTTTGAATATTTCACAGTTACATAATTTCACAGTGAAGTAATCGAAATTTAGTTCCTCTGTAGCCAAACTATATATTTGAATGTTAATGTCAGAAAAAAAAAATATCAAAAATGAATAAAAATTTGGTGAGAAATGCACTTTGTTGTGAGGAAAATATGCTGCATTACAGGAAGCACATAAATATGTCCACTTAGCACGTTAAAAATGTAACAATTTAAATTGTAAAATTTTGCCATTGACGTCATGAAATTAGAGCACATAGAGTAATGTGGCAACATCAATTAAAATTATTTAAAATCATTATCTCTATCCACTGAAAGGATAGCTTTTGTAAATTTTAGCTTATATTCTGAGCTTTAATTTTAAGCTTCAAACTTTTTGTCCAGAGCATAACTCAAAAATCCTTTGTGATATCAACAAGAAACTTCATGGGTGGATAGATCTCACTCAGGAGGTTTGCAGTGCAGAAGAATGATAACTCCACCCTACATAATTTTTGAGTTATTGTCATACTTTTTGTCCGGAACTTATCTCAAAAAGGTATCAACTTGAAACTAAGAAGTTACTTCATAGGTGGATAGATCTCATTGAGGAGGAGTGCAGCACACAAGAATGATAACCTACCCTGCATTATTTTTCAGTTATTGCCCTTTGTTATTTTCAGCCATCAATATTCACATAGGTTTCAAATCTGTAATTACTTCAGCCATCAGTTTTCATTACCAAAAGATCTATTTAAATTGAATTCTTCTGCTCTACTACATATACATTATTGCAATGAGCAAACACATTCGGTGGGGCATGGCCATGCTAACATGGCTCTTGTTATAATTGTATTGATTTTCTTTTTTTTCTTTTTTTTTTCAGCACTGCAAAAACAGTCCCAGATCAAGTATTGTGATAGAGCTATTCACCCCTGTTGTACAGAGGATTCTCAAACATAATATGGTAAGACATTACATCTGCCAAATGTTGAAGCAACCCTCAGCTTTTCTAAATGTTTAATATGGTAATTTTAAAATCGATCATTTCATATAATTGTCAAATCAAAAATCTAAGGTGATGCCGACAATGAAATATGTAAGGAAAATGGAAACCCCTTCATACCTCTGATCTACCAGTATGCTCTCTATATCTAAATTAGTAAAAGCAGACAAGTCGCTTCCTGATAAATGTCACTGATGAGCTATAAATAGCTTTCAGGACACTAATTTGAAGATAGGTTAACAGTGATATGATGCACTTTCCCAAAATAAAATTACTGAAATACTTATAGTTTGAAACAACAGATAATTGTCTTTCCAACAGAAAATAAAAGCTGAAGGGCTGATTTAAAGCTATTTTCCTACATTTGTGTTACAGTGGAACCTGTCTAATCCGAACTCGTCCGGACCGGAAGAAAAGTTCGGATTAGAAAGGTTTCCGGATTAGAAAGGTTTCTGAAGTAGAAGGTTTTTTACATTTTTTTTTCATGTTATTTGCAAAATAGTTTAAGGAAAGAAAACGGGAATGCAGTTGAAATTGCAATTTAGATATTTTATTTTCGCAGTCTCTTATCGTTCATTTTAATACATGTGAATACAAAAATAAAGAAATTAAAATAAAAAATAAGCACAAATATTATGTCCTCAAGGGTAAGTTGACCTACGATGTTAAACAGGAGGCCGAGACATGATTAAATATTCGTACCAGCATTTGTCAATTGTTGTTTACTCTTATCCGATTCAGCGACTATCCGAACTCACTGACAGTTTCCATTAATTTTCATTACTTAATCACGTATCATTGAATCCAATACAAGGGATTAAAAGATATTTCTATTGCATTATATCAAAGTATTTATAGAAGCTGACGAAAAACAATCAATTAAGCAATTATAGAAGATATCGAGGCAAGCTAAGTGTAATTTTCACACCTTCGCATATCTTACGTTTCACCCATTAATCAAGCGAAATAACACTTATCAGTTTGGTGTATGTTTACACCTGCAAGATGTGCGATCGATTATTTGTTATTTTGAATGAAGGTGTGACATTTGGCAAAATCTGTTCGGATCCGAGAGGTAAATTTTAGAGTAAAATAAGAACAAAAATTGAAAAAATTGTCCGGAATTCGGAGTAGACAGGTTCCGGATCCGAAAGGTTTTTTACTATTGAAAATAGAACGAATAAAATCGGGACCGGACACTTCGTGCGGATAAGAAAGGATTCCGGATTAGAAGGGTTCGGATTAGCAAGGCTCCACTGTATTTTTATCGAAATAGTGTCATCCAAAGTTAAAACTATGTAACAGTTCCTTGCATGTACATGAAACTTTATGGATCATGTACTTTGCTAGTTTATTTAAGGTTTTTGCACTATATTACCCTGTAATTGAAATTAAATTGTCACAATTTAGTTTGTGAGCTAAAACTTGACATATGCAGCTTTATGTACATTTGTCTCAAGCGATTCATATTAACAGTTACTGTTAGGTGGTCCTACTGATTTTATTTAAACTTTAACTTTGATGTATATTTTATAACTAACAAATAAGGTGATGATAAGGCGGATTCTTGGTGTAATCATAAAGAAACATGTATTTGGGTCAGTAGCTTTAAGCATTTTGTCTCATTTTTCATGAAAATTTAGGCAGTAGATTTTACCCGAAGGACGGACTCCCAGTGCAGTTCTGCTGGTATATCCATGCTGTCTAATCATCATTTGTTCTTCCCTATCCAGTCAGTATTTATTTTGAAAGTTCCCATAAAAATGATGAATGGAATTGTCCAGATTGAGATTGAAAAAAAAACTATATTCAGGGTGGTAAGAGTGAAAATATTGTTAAATGACTTGTGCTAGTCTGATGCACTTCCAAATCTATGTTATATATTTGAAATGTGTCTAAATATACAAATATGGCATCAGTATGGTGACTAAAACATGTAAATTCTGCCATTTTTGCATAAAACATGCAATTTTTTGAATTGCAAATATTTAAGTTTTTTTTTTAACTTAAAATATTATTTCAAAAGATTCTTATGGAACTTAATTTGTTTATATGGATGCCTGGAACTTTAAGTGTAAATGGTTCTATTAAAAGTTTAGAGCTTTACAGCGGTGATAATGAATGTTTCAGCTAGTGGGTGTTAAGATAAGGGGATAACTCACGAGGGGTTTGATGCAAGATTGATCTTATTCAAGGATTGTGTCTCCGTTTGTAATCACTCACATAGGCTCTGTTTAAGTTTAAATGGTGAAAAGAGACTAAAATTATCTGTCATATAATGCACTTCAGATCAGAATTTCCGTCCCAAGGGTACTTTCCCATTAGGCAATAACTTGGCATGTCAGCAGGATGGATATTCCAATGAAAGGCAAACATGTCAGATATTTTTTCTTGCATATTCTATCATATTTCAAATGCTTTACCTCAATTAAAAAATTTTCATGGAAATTCATGTTATTTCATCCGTAACAATTTTCTTAGAATATCAAATGAATTTACAGTTTTATTCATTACGGCGAAATTAGGTCATTCAAGGCATAGAGTTACATACTAAAATGAGCTAAAAAAACATCATTGTTTGTCATGCAACTCGTCCGGCACCCCATGTCAGATGAAAATTCCGGCATGGGTAATACTAACAGAAACACCAAACCAATATTGTCACATTAGTGCAGTAACATAATAAGTTCTTCTAAATCAATACAAGTTAATCAGTTATTGCACTAAGGTGATGATATGCAATAATGTATTTTCCCCTCTCCGCATCATTTCAGATGTCAGTAAGCACCATTGTAAAACAACAGGCTTAAAAACCACGAGGAAGCAAATAGTTTCTTTGCTTGTAAATTATTAGCTCTTAAAAAATATTATTAATGTTCCTTAGTGGGATTTAAATCAAGGGGTTAAAGATAATAAAGTTGACATACACAAATTTAACCTTTTTTGTTGTAATTGTTCCTGAGAAATTAGTCAGTAAAGCCTGTAATGCTTAAAACAAATGAGCCGCGTCATGACAAAACCAACATAATGGGTTTGCGACCAGCATGTATCCAGACCAGCCTGCGCGTCCACGCAGTCTGATCAGTATCCATGCTGTTCGCTTACAAACCCAATAACAAGTAGAGAAACTGATAGCGAACAGCACGGATCCTGATCAGACTGCGCGGATGCTGGTCGCAAACCCATTATGTTGATTTTGTCATGACATGGCTCTAATTACAGCAGATGATCTGCCATAACATAAAGAGTTTTCAAATATTTGTGATGTAATTGAGATTTTTTGTTGTTGTTGAAAATTGCCATGTTTCCTAATTGAATTTCCGGCTGCAGAGCTTGAATGTTTAATAATAAAGAAAAAAACCAGAATGTTTCTCTTAAATTATTAGCAAACATTGTTGTGATTAATGAAATATTAATTAAATGTAGTATTGAGTCGTAAATGGTTTGGCATTTTCACTTGCTGTAGAGGAAGAATGCAATATTGATTTCTACGTTGTTAAATAAATATTAATATATTATAGTATATTGAATACCTTCCCCTTATGTGGTTCAATAAAGTTTATTTAGTTTCATGTGTATTAAATTTATGAAAGGTTATATGTCAGATAGTTAAAAGTTAGTTGATTTATGCATTGATAAATTTCAACCATGATGGACAAAGATTTCCATTATCTTTACCATAGGAACTCGAGAACGGGACCGCAGATTGCGGCGTATATTTTCGATCTTGTAACGGTTTTTAAATACGTTTCTGCTACATCTAAATATCTTTTAGTATTATCCGAGTGAATGGACTCAAAAAATATATTATCAATTGAACCCAATCTGTCTCTTTTAAAATTGGTCAAATTTTACGGTATTATAAAAAAAGACAAGGAGTGACATCCGCCATTTGCCGCAACGTTTTCGGCATGAGTTTTTCCCCTTTGGCTACAATTGATTACTATTTTTTCAGAATTTTGTTCCCGTTATTTTTGTCAACTATCAGGTATCGTCCGGATATAACGTTAACGGTTTATTGTTTGTACACGTGTTGACATGTATAGGCGGCATTATAACGGGCGTATTTGTGTATTGATTTGTTAAAATGGAGAAAACAGACACTTTAGTAATATGGTCCAACTGATTTTGTCTAACTGAAAAAAGGAATATTTAAACATGATCCATAGATAAATATTTTAGGCACTCATCTCGTATTCATTACTAGAAAAATTAAAACAAAAATCAAGCATATCAAGGGGGGTAACTTACGCCGAACGTTGCGGCAAATGGCGGATGTCACTCCTTTTCTTTTTTCAATATACCGTATATTTGACTGATTTTTAAATTAGCAGATTATATTTAATTGAGATTAGATAAATAAAGACCATCCGCTCGCATAATATGAAGAGATATTCAAAGGTCGGACAAACTATATGTAAAGCCGATACGGATTCGGATTTATGCGCCGCAATATGCGGTCCTGTTCCAGAGTTCCTATGATCTTTACCACTATAAATATCTTACATGGACATGTCCATTTTTCTGGACAATCTGTACAAAACCATTTATCATTTTTTGCTGGAAAATTTCATATAAGTATAGACTGAATGGCCACCTGTGCGGATCATGATCAGTCAGTTAATCTTGGTCTTAACTGGTCACATGGGTTGATTCAGTTGCCACTAGAAAATTAAGGGTTAAAAAATGCTGAAATGTATTTACTTACTCATGTACAAAACAATTAAATCACAGTTTAGCTTTACTATGGAGAGCCTTCCTATATGCCAGTGTATAGGTGTTTGTGCCTTTGTCATCATCAGATGATGTTTGTGTACCACCTCACTTTTTGAGCTTCTGTGATGGCAGTGTGTCTTGCCATTCATAGTCTTTGGTCATTCACAATTCTTAACAAAATCTCCTCTTTTACCACAATGTGTATTAAAATTTTGACCAAACTTCACAGGTATGATCCTTACTTTTACCAGAGCAGAGTGGGTCACGAGTTGTATTTTGAGTGATGTTCACTAAAAGTAATCACTAAAAGTAATGTAAGTTTATGTCCATTCAGTCTGACCATACTGTTGACTGAGTAACTATTGATTTGCTGAGTAACTGTAAATTTTTATATGAATATCCATCATATTAAAAATGGACAGTTATTAAATAAGAAAATACAGCTGGTTTAGAGTTTGAAAAAATAATTTTAGTAACACCTGCCAGAGAGGACATTAGTCTATGAAATAAATTCAGCAAGAAATAAAATATTTAAAAAAGCTCTTTCTTAATAATATGTACATAATTATGTAGATATATAGGTAGTAGATAAGCAAAAAAATGTATATTAAGTCATTTTTAAGGTTAGCCAGTTCCAGAAACATAATATAATAGTTAAATGAAAAATGTCACCTTAGTGCAATAACTGGTTAACTCCTATTGAATTTAGAAGGACTTAACCCGTTACTGCACTAAGGTAACAATATGTCTATAAGATAGGAGATATAAGTTTTCAATAAAAGTTGGAAATTATTGTGCTGAGACATATTACTTTCTACTTATTTATTGTACTTCTAGTATTACATACTGTGGTTTGATATATAATAATTATATAAGATCTGTCGTATAAAAAACTTCTACGAGACTGTGACTAAACAAGACAATATCAAGCCTCGTAACCTTTTGTCGAGACAAGATCCGTAACCGAGTTACGCATTGATTAAATGATAATAATACCTAAAAGATCGTGTGTTTCAGAAAACCTGACCCTTCGTAGTAATATACTGTTGGCTGTAAAAAACTTTAGTAACGATCATTCAAGAAAAAATTATGGAGATATGTTTGATATACTTTATTTTGAATTAAAAAAACAATAACAAAAAGACATCCCATATCCTTTATTACTTTTAAGAGATGAAACACAGATTTTTTTATGGCCTAAGGTAATAAACATGTTGACACAAACAACTGTTAAATTCTAAAACAATATGAAAGATCCCCACATCCAGCATACCAGCATAATTTGATACTTATCATATAATGGGGAAAAAACACCCAAAACAACTAAAAAAAAACTACAAAACACCTTCAAACCTGACAAAATAATTAAATTATGTGTATGGTATTACCTGAAAAAAAAAGTTTTTTGCTGTAAGTTTATAAATTCTTTTCCAATTTTCTTATATGGTTACCTTGCTAGAAATTATCAATCTGAAAGGCATGGGAACTTGTTGTTATAAAACAAAATGGTAAAATAATCAATATCAGGTTATGTAACATTGAAATGTAGGATAGTCATTACATAATATGATTTTCATCTTATAATGGTCTTACAGTTATAACCTCTGCTTCAGAGACAAACATTTCCGTTGTTGCTAAAAGGTGTTGGCGGTACAGAGGTTCATATTTTTTAAAAGCCATAGTTTGAGAGTGACTGTTGTTGTTGTTGTTGTGTTGTTGTTGTTGTTGTAATTATGCTCCCTGAAAAATTTCGGGGAGCATAGAGTTGCCGGGTCGTCTGTCCGTCATACATCCGTACATCTGTCCCTAATTCCTGTCCGGCCCATAACTTTGTTATTTGAAGTTGGATTTTACAACTATTCCACAGAAATGATCACCATTGAGACTATGTGTCGCGCGCAACATTTTGATTGCTACCTTGAAGGTCAAGGTCACACCATGACCTTGAAGCAAAATCGTGTGTGGCCCATAACTTGGTTATTTGAAGTCGGATTTTACAACTATTTCACAGAAATGATAACCATATTGATACAAGGTGTTGCGAGCAACATTTGGGTTGCTACCTTGAAGGTCAAGGTCACAGCATGACCTTGCAGCAAAATTGTGTCTGGCCCATAACTTCGTTATTTGAAGTCGGATTTTACACCTGTTTCACAGAAATGATCAACATATTGAGAGGACGTGTCAGGTGCAAGTCGGTATATAGTTCTCATTGAGTTAAGTGCAGTGCAAAGGACAGTAACTCTGCCTTGCCTAAGTTTGGAATTATCACACTTTGAACTTTGTCTGGGACAGAACTCTGGAAGTACAAAGATATACTTTTCTGTGTCCAAAACCTAGTCTGGGAGCATTCACCCGGTTCAACCTGCTCTTGTTTAAGAAGAAATAGAGTTTTGTTCGACAGTGGTTTCACAATTTACACATTCTGTGACTTACATTTTGAAATAATGATTTTTTTTCAGGATTTTGGGAAATTTCCCCGAATGCGACAGTTTGTTCAAGAATACATTCAGGCACTGAATTGTCAAAATGCAGGCCTAGAAGTGGTTAAAGAGTTCATTAAAAGGTAAGTTTTATTGTTTATTTTATATTTTACTACATTTGACATGAAATCTGCCTCCTGCCAAGAGGATGTTATTGTATTGAGCCAAATATTTATATTGTTTACAATACAGTGAAATATAAATTGTGTTGTCACCATTTGTTTGGGTAGTTATATGGCCTCTGTGGACTAGTGGTTAAGAGTGCCAACTTCAAATATCATTTCAAATATCTGTCACAGCTTTGGTTTTGAATCCTTTAAGGGAAGTTGGATAATTTCATGTGAGGAACTATTCAGCAAGCTAATATTGGAGGTCAGTGAGGTGGATGCTCATGTCTAATGCAGGAAGGGACACCTGAGATTTTTTTTGCCAAATGATCTATAGTGTTGGTGTCACATGATTAAAAAGTTAAATTGCATTGTTAACAAGACATGTAATTTGTTCCCTTTTTCCCCACCACAGATGCAGAGCAATCTTTAATCTTATTTTCGGATTGAACAGGTTTTACCGTTTATATTGGAACATTTAGCTACATTACTGCAGTTTTTCATTGGCTGAATTCAATTTTTCAGTTAGCCAATCAGATGCTCCAGTCAGTAATGCTTTGAAAATCATCCAATCAGATGTTTTACATTTAGACTGGTTTATAGATTCAAGTTTAGACTGTATCTGTCTGTTCAGTTTAAGATACAAGGAATGGTCAGTATTCCTTAGGAGCCAAAAATAATGAAAGCTGAATCGGCAGTATGATATTGATTCTTTACATCAGTGATGAAACTTTTACCATGAAATAATTAAAGGCATTGTAAACCACAGCATAATCACCTGTTTTTGAAACATGAGATGTTTTTGTTCTGGTAATTATAATGTTACAAACATTGCTTTACCATTTAAACGATAACTAGATTGACAAAGAGGCATCTCTGTTGCCATGGTGAAAATGGACACAGAAGAGCTGATAATTGGAAATGTCTGTCTAATGTATTTTTGGTTGAAATATAATATAATAACAACGTGAAATTTTCTTCAATGCAGTCATCACTATCAAAATTATCAGTGTCGCTGTTAAAGCAGCATGTTAAAAAACTAGAGCAAAATTCTTTGAAATGTTAACTTCAATCTGAATATCTGTAGATATTCTGTGTGGATAAAGGCTTAGTATAATAACAAAGGGGGAGTGGTTAAGGTCACTTACCCTCATATAGGGAGGTTTTAATGTTGCCAACTAAATGTAAAACAAAAAGAAGTACCAAAGTCAATCAAAGCACAGAAGGCGCTGAATTTGTTTGGGTCTAAGAATGTCAGAAAGGTGAAGGTTGTGAGAGTATAAACCAATTTGTTTTTGTATAGTGTCACCAATGCCTTCCAGTGTTTTTAACTGTAATAGTAAATTGTCTAAAAGACTAATTGCAACACTGATATTTAATTCAATGTTTATTTGACTTAAACAATTAAAAAAAATGAGTTGCCTTAACTGGGATTTGTACTCCGGACCTCTTGATTCCTAAGCAAAGAGTGCAAACCCCTCGGCCAGGGTGAAGTTATATGTTTAGGGCCTGAAGAAAATCATATCATTCTAAATTAGGGTTTGTAACTCTTATTATTTCAACGCTAAACCTGTTGGTCACAGATGTAAATAATCATGGAGCTTACTATAAGCATGTATATCTATAAAGAATAAAACAATATTAGAAATCTTTGACCATTCGGGAACTATTTTGCTTGAAAATTAATGCGCCTGTCATTTGACAATCTTTATGCAGTGATCACCCCAGAATTTTTCAGCATTAGTGTACATAATTATAAAGGGAAGTAACCGCTTCAAAAAAGAGGACTACTTTCGGCATTTGCAATTACCAGCATCAGGATCTGAAATTTCGCTACCATTATTTGTTTGGTCTGACAACCCAAACAAATAAAAATCAAACACAGCAGCCTCTATACAATGTAAATGTGCCTCTGGATTGGTGATTAAATGTTTCAGTGTATTGTATTATAGCAGATTAAAAATTGTGTCGCTTATTGTCAACAAGATGACGTAATAAGCAGTACCATGGGACGTCATTGCCAGAGTTATTCTGGCATGTTAACTAAGTGCTTAAAAACGTTTTCAGGAGTTTTCATAATTATATACATATAGGCAAAATTTAAACTGTTCAATAGAATTTCTTTAAACTTGGAATGTTGTTAGAATACAATACCAGAAACATTTTAAGCGAAAATAAAAATTGGGGTCACCGTTCTCGTTTTTGAGTTATATGCCCTTGAATTGGAACAGTTTTAATTTTGCCTATATGTCTATATGAAAACTCCCGAAAACGTCCTTTAAAGGTTTAAACATTGTGATTCAGTCTGGTAGAAGACACGCTATGTCACCACAACATAAATTTACATGACTTGTAAGAATCGTCTCTTGTTTTGTCATAATAAAAGTCCGTGCCACCTTTGATTTACTTTTATAAGTGACACACTGATAAAACTAAAGGTTGGCTAAATCATTTAAACTCGATCATTAAAGAATCTGTATGAAATGCGTTAAAACAGCATGTCCAATTCATCTGTTTTTAGCGAGTCGGTAAAGTTTATTATTTTGTTCAAGAATTACACATTTGTTTAGGAATACATTTATGTCTATTCTTCAAAAAAGTGGAATTAAAGAATGGAAAATTTTCTGTGCAACTTGTTTTGAAAAATAATTTAATTTTTGTCATATTCGACTTTTACCTATTTCACTGTGGGGATTCAGTAAGGGATTAACCTTTTCCCTTATATAAGCGTGTTTTGACGGCTTTTTGCCCCCCCTTTCGAGGCCTCAAACAGTGAAAGAATGCCCTATTTAGGCCCCAAACACTGTTTTTCGTTTGAGAAATGTTGTTAAAAAAGTGACCACTTTTTCGGCGCCATCCCCCATCCAAATATTACATCAGGGGGTTGCCAGAAGGGGGATGTGCCCCCTTCTGTTAGGGGGGTTTGAAGGGATGAGGAGTCCCCCTCATCGCCAAGAAAATTTTGGACATGTGACAGGCTAAAATTGGCATCAGGTCGATCTTAGGGTAACTAGTAACAGACGTTGAAAAGCTTTTAACTCTATCTCAATTCATTGAGAAGTTGCAGCACTTTGAAATCAGTTTTGATGGAAAAAAACAATGCAAAATAGTGATTTTTGGCAATTTTGAGACGTTCCCCCGTTGCCATGGTAACAGGAAATTTACCATTGAGCATGCTGTTACAGAGACTATGGTGTCGTCAACATTTGTGCCAAGTTTCATTAGTATTGAAGCATTTTTCATAGTTTCATGGCAGTTTGAACTTGTAACAGGAGGCTTTTCAATGAAAACGGCCATTTTTCGCAATATGCTCATGGGGTAAAACGTTAAAGATAATTATGTTGACATGCACAAAGTGTTCTTCCCAATTGATTTTTCCAGCACTGTATGTTTTGCATGTCGCTTTGATGGTAAATGCCAAAACATGCTCTTTCTCCTTTCTGTGGTTTAATTTATTTAATATTCTGAAAATTTTAATCAAAATGCATGCAAACTGAAAATAATTAAATGTGACTGTCCTTGAAAGAACCTTCTCTTGATCCTGATATGGGACATAATTTTATATGCATTAAAGTCTTTCTTTGAAAATGATAATAACATTGTTAATTAAATCATGAATAAGATTTTGGTTCTTACCCAAATGTACCACACACATGTTGAAATTCATGTTGATAAAAAAATCAGTCAGTTTTGGACAACCCTGAAGTTTTTAAGGTTTCTGACTTCCATTGGGGGATTGGTTAAGGTTGCTGACTCATAAGGGGATTGGTTAAGGTTGCTGACTCATAAGGGGAGTGGTTAAGGTTGCTGACTCATAAGGGGAGTGGTTAAGGTTGCTCACTCATAAGGGGAGTGGTTAAGGTTGCTGACTCATAAGGGGAGTGGTTAAGGTTGCTGACTCATAAGGGGATAGGTTAAGGTTGCTGACTCATAAGGAGAGTGGTTAAGATTGCTGACTCATATGGGGAGTGGTTAAGGTTTCTGACTTATATGGGGGGAGTGGTTAAGGTTGCTGACTTTCATGGGGGGAGTGGTTAAGGTTTCTGACTTACATTGGGGGATTGGTTAAGGTTGCTGACTCATAAGGGGATTGGTTAAGGTTGCTGACTCATAAGGGGAGTGGTTAAGGTTGCTGACTCATAAGGGGAGTGGTTAAGGTTGCTGACTCATAAGGGGAGTGGTTAAGGTTGCTGACTCATAAGGGGAGTGGTTAAGGTTGCTGACTCATAAGGGGAGTGGTTAAGGTTGCTGACTCATAAGGGGAGTGGTTAAGATTGCTGACTCATGGGGAGTGGTTAAGGTTTCTGACTTATATGGGGGGAGTGGTTAAGGTTGCTGACTTATATGGGGGGAGTGGTTAAGGTTGCTGACTTACATGGGGGTAGTGGTTAAGGTTACTGACTTACATGGGGGTAGTGGTTAAGGTTACTGACTGATAAGGGGAGTGGTTAAGGTTACTGACTTACATGGGGGGAGTGGTTAAGGTTGCTGACTTACATGGGGGTAGTGGTTAAGGTTGCTGACTGATTAGGGGAGTGGTTAAGGTTACTGACTTACATGGGGGGAGTGGTTAAGGTTAATGACTGATAAGGGGAGTGGTTAAGGTTGCTGACTGATTAGGGGAGTGGTTAAGGTTGCTGACTTACATGGGGGGAGTGGTTAAGGTTACTGACTGATAAGGGGAGTGGTTAAGGTTGCTGACTCTCAAAGAAGAGATTTTCAAGGTTACTTATTGTCATGTGGCTTTACAGCATTGATGAAACTTTCCAGCCTTGATATAACAATATGGCAAGCTAAAGTAACTTGCATAAGTTTGGTGGTTCTTCTGAGCTTCCAACTATAGCAACAAACAATGCACAGCAGGGAACGTGAAGTCTTTGTTTACTTATACAGTGATAAAGTCCCAAAATGACATTACAGGGATCAAATGTGGGTTGTGTTAGTTATAACCATCAAAAAATAAATAAAAAAATGATAATATAAGAATCACATAAAACCTGAGTGGGTTCACACCCTGTCAGGGGCATGCATTTTGTTTCCTTGAGGAAGAAATTTAACACTCATAGCTCAGTACTGATTATTTCCAGGAACAGATAAAATAAAATGTTTTTCAGGTTAAAGCTTCCTTTAATGCTAACCTTTTAATTTTTCCTTTTCCTTAAAAGCTATAAATAAGTTTTTGTTGATATAATTATAGCATCTAGCATACATCTCTATAACCATTAGTAGATTTGACAGATAACTGCTTCAAACCATTTCATCCAGGAAATTAATTCTAATACTATATGATTATATTTATGAGCTTATTTTTTGTATATTCATTATTGTTGAAAATCTACTTCTCTTTCAAATTCCTAGATAATTTTACTTGATTTATAGAAGTATGTGTGCTGAGCTTTATTCTATGCAGCTGCTGTTTGTTAGTTGTATAATTCTGGCTTTGATGTTGCTATGTTAGTCAAAGGTTCGTGTGCATGGTTTAGTAATAAAGTTGCATCCAAATTGCCTCCCGGATGAACCAAATTATATTAAGAATATCAAACTGGAATCAATCAAAAAGTACTTAAAAAAAAAGTATGAATTACCGGTATTTTTTAATAGATGAAAATATTACATAAAAATCATAATGATAAATTAATTAATTCTATAAATTATGGGATTGCCTTCTTGTCAGAGTGGTTTAAATTAATGATCTTGAATTACTTGATCCCTTTGCCTCATAAATTTGTGTCCCCCTGTTGTCTTTCAAATTATTTCTTGTGATGTAGATGTCCAGCTGTCTTACTGATGATTGGTTGAGACATTTAATTGCTAACTTGTGCCTTAAATTTTGCAGTAAAGGGTGGTGTCTGTGGCCAAGTGGTTAAGGTGTTTTACTGCAAACATATTGCTCCTAACCACTGTTGATTCAAAACTTGTAAGGGACTTTGGATTTTTTTCATGTGAGGAAGCTGTCCAGCAAGCCTATGGATTGTCAGTGGTTGATTTTCAGCTGCCATTTGTGCCTGAATTAATATGTAAAAGGTCACCTTAGGTCCACATTCACCAGTAAAGCTTGAAAGTCACTGTATGACCATTACAGTGTAAGTGGGACTAACAACCAACCAAATCTTCAGTAAAACCATAAAAGTGATTTAAAGTACAAACCAAAGTAAGTTTCTATACCTACATTGGAATAATAATAGGGGTTCTGAAAGTCTTCCTCCACCTGTTAACCTGAAAAGAAACTTTACATCTGAATTGAATGTCTATGTTAGGTTAAATGCAGGCAAAAAAAATGTAATATAGAATATTTCCATGTAATTACAGTGTAACCCTTATATAGCAAATGTCTATAGATGATTAATTTTGACAACAACAGTATTAGTTCATCCCAAAGTAAGACAAATATCTCCAGAGCAACTTCTCAGAAAAAACACATTTTTTTTTTGTCTCACAAATAATTGAAATTGTGTTGTACTGTAACCTTATTGTTTTTTTTTAATGTGTGTACATTCATTAATGTGTTATATACTTCTGGTAAAAGCTTGTCTCCAAAACATGAGGAAAAGCCTTGAAATTGACTTCAATATAAATGTAGAATTGTTGTTGTAGAACTGGTAAATTGGCAGTCAAGCTTCATACCAACTTCCAGTCTTACTATTTTTAAACAGAGAGTGATTTCAAAATGATGCATGTGTGTGGGGAAAAAAACTGGAAGTTTCAGAAACAAAAAGATGACATTTTAATGGTTACTTTCTTTTGAAACTTCGAAATAATAAAATATCCCTTGGCAAAAAACTAAAATAAAAAAATGAGTGAATGAATACAAAAGCAAACGAACTTAATTAGATTAATTAATGGTACAAGCATGGCTTTGAAATAATTTTAGGGTTTGCTAGGATGGGATTCTCTACTGCTTGTACATCATTGAATCATCATTAGGCTTACAGTTATTGATTATGGTGTCTTGATTGGACCAACATACTATACACGAAACTGCTAATTATTTTGTTTTCTGTCTTTTTGTGGCTGACAGCAGTACCATTCATATTCTGAGTAAATTTATGTGTTGTTTTTTTCCCATGGATTTGAGGCTAAGCCTTGTTTCTTATGTGTTTTTAAAAGTAGAAAAGAAGAATGTTCTGTATTAAAACACAATAGCCAAAGCAATAATTCTGCTTGTTTTCTATTTCAATGTAGCTGGCAGCAATAGGCAATCATGGTGGATATTCTGAAGGAATGAATTTTGTTACCAGACAATGTTTTGTAAATGAATTTAATTTGTTTGTATGACAAGAAATGGTGGAGGTAATGAGTAAATTTCTTACATTTGGATGTTAGAAAAATTCAAATACGCATACATAACCCTTCTGCTGAATTACCTAGTTTCTATTTTCGGCACTGTACATGATCAATTCTTAGGATATTAAAATAGAAAAAAATTAAGTTGATAAGCCAACTGTATAATGCCTGATTGCCAACAGTATAGACCCTTGTCAGTTAGTAGTATAAATAGCCAGATCAACCAGCTGTGTAATGTCTGGTTAACCAGAAATATAGAGCCTGGTCAACCAGTAGTATGAGCCAGGTCAACCAGCAATATAGAGCCTGCAAACCAGCCTAAAAGGCTTGTCAACCAGCAGAATAAAGCCTGGTCAACCAGCAGAATAGGGCCTGGTCAACCAGCAGAAAGAGTCTGGTCAACCAGCAGAATAGAGCCTGGTCAACCAGCAGTATACCCTGATTAACCAGCAGAATAGAGCCTGGTCAGTCAATCAGCAGTATAATCCTGAATAACCAGCAGTATGACCCTGATTAACCAGTGGTATATAGCCTGGTCAACCAGCAGTATAACCCTGATTAACCAGTGGAATAGAGCCTGGTCAGTCAATCAGCAGTATAATCTTGATTAACCAGCAGAATAAAGCCTGGTCAACCAGCAGTATAACCCTGATTAACCAGCAGAATAGAGCCTGGTCAGTCAATCAGCAGTATAATCTTGATTAACCAGCAGAATAGAGCCTGGTCAGTCAACAGTATAACCCTGATTAACCAGCAGAATAGAGCCTGGTCAATCAACAGTATAACCCTGATTAACCAGCAGAATAGAGCCTGGTCAGTCAGTCAGCAGTATAATCTTGATTAACCAGCTGAACATAGCCTGGTCAACCAGCAATCTAACCCTGATTAAATAGCAAAGTAAAGCCTGGTCAACCAGCAGTATAATTCTGATTAACCAGCAGAATAGAGCCTGGTCAATCAGCAGTATAATCTTGGTTAACCAGCAGAATAAAGCCTGGTCAACCAGCAGTATAACCCTGATTAGACCGCCTCTGTGGTGGAGGGGTTAGAGTCAATGACTTCTAATCCAGTTACCTCTCTGGTGTGGGTTCGATCCCCGGGAGATGCTTTGGTAGTTTAGCGCAGAGGAAGGTAGTCTAGTACTGGTTTAACTCTCCAGGAACGATGGTTAGGAAACTACCCGCCTATATGACTGAAATACTGTTGGAAAAAGGCGTAAAATGAAACAAACAAACAAACAAACATAACCCTGATTAACCAGCAGAATAAAGCCTGGTCAATCAACAGTATAACCCTGATTAACCAGCAGTATAACCCTGATTAACCAGCGGAATAAAGTCTGGTCAACCAGCGGTATAACCCTGATTAACCAGCAGAATAGAGCCTGGTCAGTCAGTCAGCAGTATAATCCTGATTAACCAGCAGAATAAAGCCTGGTCAGTCAATCAGCAGTATTAGCCTGGTGAACAAGCAGTGTAAAAGATAGCAAACATTATAAAAACTGGTCAAGAAGCAGTAAAAAGCCTGGTCAGTTAGCAGATTACAGCCTGGTTAACCCGCAATATAAAATCAAGTCAGTCAGCATTATAAAGCTAAGCACCCAGCTGTATAAAGCCTGCTCACCCAGCAATAATGAGATTAGTAAGGTTGTTTGTATGTACATGGGCTGCTTTTTATGGGTGATTAAGGTAGCTTTCTAGGGATATATTTCCCTCATTCTAGTGAGAAACTTCAACATTCTTTCACAGTTTAAGTTGAAAGATCAAACTGAAAAAAACCCACAAAATTAAGTCTCAAGCAGGCGTTTGAAATATCTAACATAATACTGTAAATGTAAAATGATTTTAATATATTGTTCTTTTTTCAGTATGCATGGTCCAGCAAGTGTTTGCCCACATCCGAGAGTTCTGCCAAATCTTGTTGCAGTTTGTCTGGCAGCTGTGTACAGCCTTTATGAGGACAAAAGAATGTAAGTTCAAATACACTGAGGAAGTCTTGTTATAATCAAAAATTGCTTAAAAGAAAGAGTGTTAGTTCCCCATTTAATCAAATATGCTTCAAGGTTTCAATAATAATAAGTTATACCATACAGTTTGGCTGCACCAATGGTAAACCTATTACCTTGCAACATCAAATGTTGTGTGTGTTTTGAAAAGTCCTGCCCAGCATACAGGTTTTTGGACAAAGTCACTTCATAACATCTTTAATTGGCTTTGATTATATTATTTTGCACTGAGAAAGGGCTGAAGTGTGCTAAAAAAACATAGAATTGTAATTTTTTATGGGTCTTCAATGTGAATGGCATTGTGAAATTTCTGTTTTCCTAGTCTGCCATTGTAAGTATAAGGGCTGCTTTTGTATTCATTTCAAGACAAAGCATAAGGGCTATGTTTAGCTTTATTATCCGGAGAAAAGAGAGAGTTATTGTACTTGTCCTGGCATCACCATTGCGTTCACACTTTGGTTAAGTTTTTCCTGTGAAAGTTGCTATCTCTAAGACTAGTGTAGAGAATAGGTTGAAGCTTCACATACTTGATCTCTGTGATGGACACAGATCCTATAACGTCTATGACTGTCTTATGGACAGCCGTTATTGTGTTTATTTTAGAACAAGCCATGCATGTCTTTATTGTTTTTTAATTCAGGGCAAAAGAAGACGATTCTGATGAGTATGATTACGACCCGTTGGAGTGGGAGAAAAAAGTTGTTTGTTATATTGGCATGATGGAAACAATGTAAGTTTATAAAACCCAATATTATTTATCATGACAGAAGTTGATTTCTCTTTATGATTTTAGTGTGATTGTGTTGGAAGCTATAAGCTTATTGAAACACTCTTATCTGTTGCTGGAACCAACCAGTTTATAAGCAATAAATGTAAAGTTTCTTGCACAAGGAACCAATGGCTTGCCCCTGACAGGGTTTGAACCAACGTGGTCAGCAATCCATAGATAACAAGTCCAACGTGTTAACATTAAACACTTAGCCACGCCACCAGCTTTATGTTTGGAATAGTCAAAAAAGAAAATCAGTAGTTTGTTTGAAAAAGAGACTATGAACAATCAGATATTAAAGCAGTTTTACTTCACACAAAATATACTGATCTTTTCCCAAGAAACATTCTAATGTGTTACTCGCTAGATTGAAAGTCATTTGTATTGGTTTTCTGCCCCACCCCAATCAAAAAAAGCTATGTGGTGTAGACATACAAAATTCATTATTGTACTCCATTTTTGACCTTGACTTTTTCTATTTGAATATCTTTGTTCAAGGATGACATATTCATAGCTTAGTGTAAATGTACTCACTTTTTCACATGTTATGAACTGTTGAACTCCCATTGGAAAGGAGTGGTGTAATTTACTAAAGCCAGCATAATTATACTAGAATTTCAATAGATCTACCTAGTGATATTCCTAATTAATCCTTTACCTTCTGAAATTTGCTTCATGCACTTGTCCACCTTCTATGTTTGGAAGTGCTCATTTTTAATTTCAGGGGTATCAAGATGATAATTTGAAGTTAAGTCAGCCAACAGTATAGAGCCTGCTAAAACTGCCAGTCTGTGCAGGATGGTCTCCGGCTCTATACTGGTGACCAAGGCTGGTCACTTTTGGTTGGTTTAATGTTAGATACAAAACACCAATTCATAGGGGAGAAATGCCAGTAACAACTCATTTTATAGTATTCAATAGAGGGAGTGGATATATATATATAGACAGTTTTATCCTCAGGTGTAAAATTGACACATATTGCTAAAAAAGTGAAGTTATATAAAGCACATAATATTAGTCATTTTTTATCACTTCTTTGTTCAGTTTTCAACTGTCTGGCGGTGTCATATTTTTTCCATTCTGTGAAATTTGGTCAGTATCATCAATAAAAAAACAGTTTACAGATTGTTCATCAGAGGTCAGAAACTAAAGCTGTGTCAAATTGAAGAACTTGCTTTCCACAAGGAAAACAATTTTTTTTATTTTCAAAACTCCTAGTTGGAACGTAACTTCTATATTTTACATATGGATCATACAGGGTTAAAATCTAGGTCATTTGGTTAGAAAGTAGGAAGTGTTTTATATTCCTGTTTGTTCATTATGAGACATAGTGTCTTGCACAAGAAACAGGCTTTTAGGTCAAAGGTCAAGGTCACACTTAAGGTAAGAGGAAAAGGTTTGTCTGGAGCAAAACTTTTATATGCATTTGATATTAAATTAAGGCACAAATGCCTTTAAGCATATGTTTTTTTTACTTGAATCATTTTTGTGGAAACATAATTTATGTATATTTTACTTGAACCATTAATGTGAAAACAGGATAAAGGCTTGTTTATGCACTGAAAACTTAAATTGTACATTAAGTATATAATATCTTTTGTACTTTTTTACCAACTTTATAGATATCTGATTTATTGAGGTTTTCTTTAGAGGAATACCCGAGGGGGTTTTGTGTCCAGATTTATTTGACTCCAGCATGCAAATAATTGTTTGATTTTGAAGATTTATTTCTGTAAGTATTATGGATTTGCCCTAGATTGTCAGTAGTTTGGTCATTAACTTGCAGTTAACAGTGTTCCTGTATTCAGTTCATGTAATAACCTGCTGTATGACCAAGTCTTAGCTTTTTACATTTACTAGGGGCGTCTGTGGCCGAGTGGTTAGGGTCGTTGGCTTCAAATCACTTGCCCCTCACCACTGTGGGTTCGAATCCTGACAGGGACTTTGGATTCTTTCATGTGAGGAAGCTATCCAGCTAGCTTACGGAACGTCGGTGGTTCTACTCAGGTGCCCGTTCGTACCTGAAATAATGCACAGACGGGCACACGAGGTCTTCCTCTACCAGTAAAGCTGGAACGTTGCGATATGACCTATACTGTGTGGATGTGACGTGAAACCCAAAACAAACAAACAAACAAAATTTACATTTACTGAGGGAGGTAGACCATAGCTGCCTGTTTGTGCATTATTTCAGTAAAAATTGGGCCCCTGTGTAGAACCACAAACATTTTGTAAGCTTGCTAGATAGCTTCGTTACATGAAAGAACCTGAACCCATCAGCAGTGAGGGGCAAGTGGTTTGAAGTCAATGACCTTTAACACTTTGTCACAGAAGCCCTTCTTAATCAATGTCTCCTTTGAAATCATGTAGATGAATTGCTGTGATCATTCTATAAATATAAGAAGTTTTAATAACTTGGCCAGTGCAACAAATTTAGAGTCAGGCCACCTTGCTTATTTGTGCATCCTGACCAGTCTTCAAAAATAAAGTAGGTTTTATATACAGTGCAGAATAATTGTGCAGGCACTGCAAATTTATTTTAAAGATTTATCATGATTATGAACTTTGTGTAATACATATTTTTCCTCAATTAATCATCACCAAAAATTTTAGTTAATTAGTGGTTAGAGCTCACAAACCTGTGTCCAAGGTTTTAAGAAATCCTCTAAGCTCAAACTCAGATTTTGGATATTTGATTGGACAGAAACTGCCACAGAATGTACACTGATCAATGAAAATCGTGAGATTTTAGACAGAACTCTTAGAATTTTATAACCTCAAGATCAGATCTCAGTAGAAAATGAGAGATCTTTCTAACCGAGCAAACATGCTGACATATATAGATTTTCTTTTATCTCTGCTCTTTTATTTGAAGGACATATTTTATAATTTAGATACCAGACTGACAAATATGATTAAGGGGGGAAATCTCTTTATATCTGGTGATCTTAATGATACTATGTTGTTAGAATATTGAACCATGCACTATCATGAAATAAATTATGTATTTTGTAGTCAAACAGGTTACTGTTTCATATCATTTTAAATCAAGTATCATACTTTAAAGCTGTCAGTAACGTTTGGGTTAGTTTTTAAAATTCAAATGGACAAGTTTTGTTTAAATGTAATGAATGTTGAACACATCAGCCAGAAAAGAATGATTTAGAGAAAAAAGGTCGCGGAAAAGTCAAAAGGTATTGTGATGAATTCACAACATGTCATACCTGAAATATTTTTATTTGTGAACTGAGTGTAAATCTAATCAATTCAAGTGTCAAGTTTCCAGCATCATTCCCTGGTATAACAGAGTGGTGATTTATCAGGCCTCTGTGATAAGCTGCAGGAGTTTTCCTTATTTGGACGTTAAATTATGCCCTGCACTGTGATTTCCTTGTTGCAATCATTTTTAAAAACATGTTTTGTCTGAAACAGATATTATGGCTTGGTTGGTGGTGTTGTTTTTTTTTCACAATATCCACAAGGTTGTTATTAAAATTTTCCTGTGACAGTCCATTTTGAGTTTGAGGTGATCATTTGTTATTTTTTTTTTTCACAAACAGCAAGGAGTGTTAGGGTGGCAGGAAAAAAATCATTTTTGTTTCTAGCGGCCTTAAATGACAGCTGTCATGCTGCCTTAATGTCTATCCGTAGACTGTCAATACCTTTAAATTCTGGGTCATCCCTGTCCTATGGAAACATTTTTTGTTGCATTTTGCTCTGATTTTCCTGTTATATTCTGTCATTTCAGGTCTATTTATGAGGATTGGAGGTACATTTTAGGGAGCTTGCTTCAGCCTATACCTTTTCCAAATGAGTAAGTTATATTTACATTTTGAGCTCTATATCATTGGCTGCAGTCTTTATGCCATTGGCTGCAGTCTTTATGCCATTGGCTGCAGTCTTTATGCCATCGGCTGCAGTCTATATGCCATTGGCTGCAGTCTATTCAACTAGCTGCCATCTCTGTGCTGTTGATAGCAGTTCCTGTGCTATTGGCCAAAGTCTTTTTGTTATGGTTACAGCCTATGTGCCATTGGCTGAAAGCCTATGTGCCATTGGCTGAAAGCCTATGTGCAATTGGCTGAAAGCCTATGTGCTATTGGCTGCAGTCTCTGTGCTCTGGCTGCAGTCTCTGTGCTATTGGCTGCAGTGTATGTGCTATTAGCTATTGCTATTGGCTGCAGTCTTTGTGCTATTAGCTATTGATATTGGCTGCAGTCTCTGCGCTATTAGCTTTTGCTATTGGCTGCAGTCTTTGTGCTATTGGCTGCAGCCTCTGTGCTATTGGTGCAGTCTATGTGCTATTAGCTATTGATATTGGCTGCAGTCTCTGTGCTATTAGCTATTGCTATTGGCTGCAGTCTCTGTGTTATAAGCTTTTGCTATTGACTGCAGTCTCTGTGCTATTGGCTGCAGTCTATTTGCTATTAGCTATTGCTATCAGCTGCAGTCTATGTGCTATTAGCTATTGCTATCTGCTGCAGTCTCTGTGCTATTGCTATTGGCTGCAGTCTCTGTTCTATTGGTTGCAGGTACGATCTATGCTATTTGCTGCAAGCTATTTGTTTATTAGAGAGCAAACATTTAGGTGTAAAGCAGCAATACATGACCATTTCTTTATCTGAATTTGTTTAAAACCCGATTATTTATAATAAAAAGTTGTTTGAAAAGGTGACAAATTTTCAAGTTCTAGAGATATTCAAATATTTACACAAGAGAAATATAAAGCTTCAAGAATTGCAAAATGAAATTATCAGCTGCGTTTTTCCCATCTTTTGCATCATAAACAATAGTTAACAATAAATATGAAGCCATCATCTTCAAGTGGTAGTAAGAAGAAATCCTCTGATCGTGGATGACACAGGAAAATATAATTTTTAGCTCGACTATTCGAAGAATATGGGAGCTATTGTAGTCGCGTCGGCGTCAGCGTCCGCGTCTGCGTTGGTTAAAGTTTTTTGTAAAGTCAAATATCTCAATTATTACTTGAGATATTCAATTGAAACTTACAATACTTATTTATAGTAACAAGGTACATCAGATTGACAAGTTGGATAACTCTGCCTACAATATTGACAGAATTATGCCCCTTTTTAACTTAGAAATTTTGGTTAAAGTTTTTTGTCAAGTCAAATATCTCAATTATTACTTGAGATATTCAATTGAAATTTACAATACTTATTTATAGTAACAAGGTACATCAGATTGACAAGTTGGATAACTCTGCCTACAATATTGGCAGAATTATGCCCCTTTTTAACTTAGAAATTTTGGTTAAAGTTTTTTGTAAAGTCAAATATCTCAATTATTGCTTGAGATATTCAATTGAAACTTACAATACTTATTTATAGTAACAAGGTACATCAGATTGACAAGTTGGATAACTCTGCCTACAATATTGACAGAATTATGTCCCTTTGGAACTTAGAAATTTTGGTTAAAGTTTTTTTGTAAAGTCATATATCTCAATTATTGCTTGAGATATTCAATTGAAATTTAGAATACTTTTTTTATAGTAACAATGTTCATCAGTTTGCAAAATTGCATAACTCTGCCAGCAATATTTGCAGAATTATTTGCCCCTTTGAAACTTAGAAATTTTGGTTGAAGGTTAAAGGTCTTCAAAGATATTTACTTGAAACTTTACACGTGCACTTAGGGTCATAATTGGAGGGTCATAATTGTATGTCACTGACCAAGTTCCATAACTCTATCTTGCATTAAGGCTGATTCATATCCCCTTTTCTACTTAGTCTCTTGGTTAATGTTTACATGCAAGTTTTACATATCTCAATAACTAATAAAGATATTTATTTAAAACTTCACATATGCATTTAGGGTCATAATTGTAGGTCACTGACAAAGATCCATAATTCTATCTTGCATTTAGGCTGATTTTTCTCCCCTTTTTCAACTTGGAAATTCATGGTAAAGTTTTGCTTTTAAGCTGTTATCTCAATAACTACTAAAGGGTTTGTGCCTTTTTTGGGACAATTTTATGCATTCATAGTAATAAAGCAGTGATTTACTTGATAAAACATCTTAATAACAAGCCTTTGTACCTTTTCTGTCAAATTTATGTATTCATAGGTAATTAGTATTATTATACTCAATAAAACACCCTTGTGACATTACCTTCCGAATAGGCAAGCCAATACTGTATAATTAGACTGTCTCTAAGGCCTATAACATGAATTTATAAAAAAAAATTAGCCCTTTTGTGAACTTAAAAAATTTAATATATTCAAGGCTCTTTTACTATCAAGCACTTAGAATAGTCGAGCGTGCTGTCCTTCCGACAGCTCTTGTTATGTTTAAAGTTGATTTAGGATACTTAATACTATGTACAGAACTTAGTGTAAAAACATGTATTTTCTTTTTAAGATGTGGTTTTTATTAAACTGTTTTGTTGGTATAAAGAAAGTGAAAACATACATGTAAGTCTGATGTCCTAAAGCCTAAAAACATTAAAAAAATACAAATTTCCATTGAAGCACTTAAATCAGAAAAGTATATGCTAAAGTTGTGAAAGAATTATACTCTGAATTAAATTGAAAGCTGATAATTAATGTGATTTTTAGCACTATTTAAGTTTAACACATATTTTTTTTGTTTATATTACTCTTGAAATGGAATAACCAGTGATAAGAATTTTTTTTTTTAAAAATCTATTGATATAGATCTCCATCAAAGAGTTTTTGACCCGTGGTGTTGTTTTGAGTTTGAAACACCCGAGGTTAGCCAAATCAAATCATCTTTCCTGTTGGTGCACCGTAAAACCAAACAAAACAAACAAACCAGCATCAAAGGCTATTAAAAATCTCAAAGAACATATTTCAAGTGTAGTCATGTTAAAAACCTCAGATGAGTCCATTTAACCAATAATGTATTTATAAAGAAACAATGTATTTAGATACCAAGGAAGTAATGTAATTCAATTTGTTTACAGAATTAATTAGATTTGTACAAAAAATACTTTTAATGATAATTTTTCTCTATTTTTGTTTTCAGTGCCCTTGCAGATGATCTATTCACATCGTAAGTAAAAAAAAAAAAAAAGAAAAAAAAAAAAATCTCCATAGGATGTTTTGCTCTTGTATTTATTATTGTTTTTATTTAAGTGAACGCATAATCAGTTTTGCATGTTGGCTTTTCTTTATTTGCTATGTACAAATTGTTTCAAAATTTCCCCCTTCAGTCAATATTAATTTCAATAGCGTATATCACATCATATACACCAGTTTGAATGTTCATATATTTATCAGATCACACACATTTACGTAAAACAACAATGCACAAAAGTTAGATAATATATTTATGGTATTTCATATTCTTAAAGATATGTGACATAATTTATGTATTCTTGCCTAAACATTTGCACATACATATACTTGCAATTGCTCATAATTGTCCTTGTTTCAAAATTGAAAAATGGTTTTCATCAAATTTGATTAGTATGTTTACTTAAATTGCCAAAGAGAATCTTTGTATTTTGTTGCTTTAGTTTTCGTAACAACTGCAGATGACTCTTTGGCAACATTTTCTCTTGAGTCCCTATGGCATAGCAATTATATCTGTATAATTATGCTTATATGTTAGTTTTGAAAACTGTTGAAACTGAGGAAATTGTTAGAAATGCAAACAAGAAATATTCCTTATTTCAAAGCAAGTTTTCTTGATTATATCAACAAATTTTATTTTTATTTATTTTCACATGTACATAAATAGCTACTCATTCAAGTCATTAGCATATTTGAAAGAATAAAAAACTTTAGCCAAAATAACTTTTCCTGCAAACAATGTCTTGTATTTGAGTTGTTGCTAAGTAAATGGTATCTTATTTAAAGTACATATTTTATTTTGCCCTTCCTTAAAGGACGTTTTTTATGATTTGGATAATTATCATGAAGAATCTTTTATGAGAAGATTAATGGACTATTGAATAAATTGTGGAGAAAAACACGAACTTTTAAGTAGCGAAAACGTAAAAATGTGAAGAACAACATTTGGTCAAAAGGTCGTCTTGATACTAATAATTTCATGAATAATTAAGGAAAGAGAAATAGTCCGGCAGATATAAAAGCAAGTAGTTGTTGAAAAAAAAAGAGTTTTAAGAAATTTTCTCCATAGTATATTCAATTTGCCTGAATATTTGTCAGTAATGAATTGTTTGCACAATCAATTTACATATTTAAATGAAATATAGAGACATTAAATAAGAAATAACAGACTACAGGAGTATATATGATTAACACAATATTCACTCAATCCTGCCATCTGACAATATTAATATTGGAACCGCCCTGTAATGCTGGGAATCTTTGCATGCTAAAACAGCTAAACTTGCAACAATCTATGACTTCAGGCTGCAGACATTTTGTTGGCTGTAACTAAATTATGGTTTGAGACTCACTTTTGCTGTATTGTGATCATTGATCTGGGACAAAATTTCCTCCTTGACAATTGATTTAAGACATTGAGTCTGATGGGTCATTTGTCTCTTACGACTGATTGAGAAATCATTTGAGCCCAGTCATGACTAAACCAACATAATGGCTTTGCGACCACCATGGATCCAGACCAGCCTGCACATCCTGGCAGTCTGGTCTGGATCCATACTGTTCGCTTATCAACTCTATTACAAGTGGAGAAACTGACAGCAAACAGCATGAATCATGATCAGACTGGGCAGATGCGCAGGCTGGTCTGGATCCATGCTGGTCGCAAACCCACTATGTTAGTTTTGTTGTGACATGGCTCATTTGAGATTAGTAGTCGCTCTCAATATATATCTATAAAAATCATTGATTTTGACATCTGTAAATTCACTTAATTTCGTGGGCATGAAATTATATGAATTTGTTACAAAACTTTTTCGTGGGTTCTTAAATTCTTGGACTGTTTATCTTTCCAATAGGTAAAATATAAAAATAAATTTGGTTGGATCTTACATTCTTGGATTTCCATGGAAACTATGAAAATAAGTTCCTCATGAATTATAATGATATTGCTGTATGCAATAAAATATCTTGAAATGACTAAAGTTCAGGCAAATGAACTGACCCAGGTGCCCTGTCAAAAGAACATGTCTAAAATTAAACTATTTTTACCGATAAGATGGCTGCATTCCAACTTTCAAAGGCACCAATAAAAGGAAATACCTTTGGGTTGAAGATAAAATCATGATATAAGATATAAATAAATTTCAAAAATATTAAATTATGATAAATCATTATTATTTTATTATTATCAGGGGCTCAGTGTATTGTTGATACATAAATATTTGTAATCCAATATTGATATATTGTCAATACGCTAGAGACTAGATCAATGACAGCTGTAACCGGGAATGTTACATCCAGCTTGTTTTACAGGACGTTACTTAAACTGTAAAGATGTAATACTATGTTTTTACTTATCCATGCCTAGAAAAAAATAACTAGAACAGAATAAGGAAATGTGACTTTAATAAATGGAGTCATGTCTAAAAAATACTTCTCCAATGAAGTAAAGTATAATATTTTAATGGACTGTCTTTTCATAAGCATGCATGTATTAGAAATGGTAAAAGATGTCAAGTTTTTGGTGCATTGTAATATAAATGCAGGGTTTATTGTACAAATGCTTTATAATTTATCACTCAGGCTTTCGGGGAATGGTGATTGCTGCGCATCTGAACATGAACCATTTATTATTCTACAACAAATTATTCAAAGGTGGGATCAGTTTCCAAAATAATTTATGCTTCTATTGTTGTTGAAAACCATTGATGTTGAGTGATAAATCATTATCATTATTGGATTATATTTGGCAGGCATATGAAGGCCGTGATTCGGAACATCGCTACAGATGAAGTGTGCGACGTTCATCAAACTATACTGGGTATACGAGAAGGCAAAGAAGGCTGGTTCCATATTTACTGCCCCGGTAACATTGGCTGTGATGATGATGGAATATTATGGGGCCAGATGGTAATAGAAAATTTTGTTATTTCAGATGATATTTATTTATCTTTTGATCTTTGCACAATTAGTTTAAACACATTTATTTAAGCTCACTTGTGAAACAAGTTCTTCCAACTTATATTGATAACTTTTGAGTCCGTTTCCTGGAACGAACCTTATTATGAAGAAACATGATTTTGACCCAATGAGGGCTCAAACCCATGATCCATGAGTTGAGAAGCAGACACCTTAACCACTAGACCACCGCTCCCCTTTGCACAATTAGTTCTGGAGGTACAAGTCAGTGGACATTGGGTCTTGAATGTTTGAAAACAGGATGCAGCTTTGATTTTTTTTGCTGTACATGGATTTTTATCCTGAGAGAAAAATGATATGACATGATTGTGTGTATTGAAAATTGTCGTCAACCACGTTTTCAAATTAATTATCATGTGCGTTAAAATTTTTATTTTCAGTTGAAGACGTTAATGCATTGTTGTTGTAAACGGAAGAATTTTTTGTATGGATTGAACAAAATGATAGGGCCAGTCATGTTGCTGTCCTTACGAGAAAATATTGCTGCAATGGAAGTAAGTGAAAACCTTTGGGTTCTATTTGGTTTCATTTACAGTCTTTGGACTGTTTTCTATTTATAAGCTTCTGCTGCAATTTCGGTAAATTTAAAAGATGATTGGTCCTGTTTGTTGTAGTTCTCAAAGATTGATTTATAATATTATTTTGTAGTTAATCCAAAACGTCGCGTTTCCAAAAATATTAATTAACAGTTATTTTCATTTTCTGATTCTTTAATGAATGTAAAAATTATAATATAAATGGTTATGGACAGAGGGTTTCAGTGGCTGACCTTTTCTTTAAAGCTATATATAGAATACAAAGCAAGAAAAGTGGGTTTATATTTATTTGTTTATGTCTTTAGGTACTGTGTGCGATGCTTGAATGTGACGTTGTTGAAAATAATGACCTCAAGATGCAGATGGTAACGACGCTACAGAGCACAATGTCGGGCAAGCGTATGTACGCAGATCTCTGTGAGAGACAAATCGCACTCAGGGAATTGGTAATTAATTTACTTATTTGTAAATATTATGCTTTGGTACAAGTTTTCAGGCATTTGCCTGAAGCTCAGAATTTTTCAACTCCTGAAAGCTCTCTTTTTCCTTATAAAACCTATTTAAAATGATAGTAAATTTAGGGTTTTCAGGTCTTTTGATATTTTTAACTTGCATCCATGATTATGGTTTTAAACCCTATATACAGGTTAATCAATTTGCAAAATTTTTATGCGCTTTGCCTTTTGGACATTGACTGGGACATTGATCTGAAATAGTTAATAATAGTTTATCATCTCAGAACATAACCCCTGAAAATATCTTTATTTATCAGAGATCACATTGACTGGGACATCGTGTGTCAGAATTTTACACAGATTAAGATAGAAATTGATGTTAAGCTTACAACTTGTTGTTTTGTATGGTTGCATTTCATTTTACCAGCAATATTACCTTCCAAAATATAGGGTTATTATACCCCCCCACAACAAAGTTGTAAGGGGGGGTATACTGGAACCGGCCAGCCGTCGGTTTTTCCTTGTCCGCCCAATAACTTAAGATTCCTTTGACCCACAATCTTCATATTTGGCATGGAGGTTAGTCATGATTAGTAGGTGACCTTATTGATTTTGAGGTCACTGGGTCAAAGGTCAAGGTCACATAGACTTTGACTTCAAAAAGTCTGTCCGCCCAATAACTTAAGAAACCTTTGACCAACAGTCTTCATATTTGGCATAGCGGTTGATCATGACCATTAGGTGACCCCTATTGATTTTGAGGTCACTAAGTCAAAGGTCAAGGTCATTGGGACCTTGACTAAAAAAAGCTTTTCCCCTCAATTGCTTAAGAATGCTTTGGTCAACAGTCTTCATATTTGGTATTGAGATTGTATATGACTAGTAGATGGCCCCTATTGATTTTTAGTTTACTGTGTCAAAGGTCAAGGTCATAGGGATTTTACTATCATAAGTTTGTCTGCTCAAATGCTTAAGAATGCCTGTCGGCAGTGTATTGATTTTGACATTTGAAGCATGTAGAATACATAACTTAGCAATGCACTGGCTTAGTAACCTCAGATTTGGCAGGGAGGTTGTCCTTGAGTTCTAAATGGCCACTGTTGATTCTGACAAAGTGGTATGACAGTGGCAGTTCTAGTTTAAATTGAAATATAATTGAAAAAAAAAAACAACAACAAAAACTATTGTGTAACAAAAAAAAAAATTATATTAATTGCGTAACTCAATATCAAGCAAGGATATAAATATGATAGCAAATTTTATGAGAGTAAATTTTTCCCCAGTGTCAGCATATTATCATGCTTTATATGTTTTATTAAATTTATACAGCTTAATTTTTAATTCAAGACGGCAAGTATCTTATAATATCCAATTTTTTTTTAATGTCGACAAGTACAAATTTGTTGTATCATTTGGTTATATACCATTCGAAATAATATAATTTCTTCTGGAAAATTTAGTATCTTCTAGAAAATATGATTTCCTCTGGAAAAATGTCATTTCGTTTCTGCAAGGAAGTATCATTTCCACTTGAAATTATCATTTTCTTTTGGAAATTATCATTTCCTTTAGAAAATATTATTTCATCTTGAAAATATTGTTCCCACTGAAAAACTTTTATTAATTTCAACTGGTACATATCATTGAAAATGTCTTTCTGCTTGATAAAAGTTATTTTATTAAAATTTTCTTCCAAAAAATATCATTTCTACTTGAAACTATCATTTCCTCATGAAAATAATATTTTCTTCTTGAAAACATCCTTCCCATTTGAAAATTATCTTCTGCTAAAAATTAACATTTCCACAGGGAGATATCATTTCCATTGTAGAATCCTATTTCCATTTGAAAAAAATCCTCACTGGTAAAATATTTTAACTGGACAATACTATTCTACTGGAAAAATAATTCCTTTCCCCATAACATTTCCATTGGAAAAAAATATTTTTTCTGGAACATATCATTTCCACTGGAAACACATATATTTCCTCATGAAAATATCCTTCCCTCTGGAGATATGTCATTTCATTTCCACAAGGAAATATCATTTATACATGTACTTGAAACTCTCATTTCCTCTTGAAAACAACATTTCCACTGGAAAATATCATTCCAGATATAAACTGTTTTTGAAAACAAATTGCAAAACTGTCTTACTTAGTTCTTTCAATATATTAAGCTACAACATTTGAGCCGCGCCATGACAAAACCAACATAATGGGTTTGCGACCAGCATGGATCCAGATCAGCCTGCGCATCCGCATTATGTTGGTTTTTTCATGACACGGCTCATTTAAGCTTTAACACTTGGTTTGTCATCTTTTTATATCTATTTTCAATCTTTGATTACCTGTGTCATTACTTATTTCCCATAATATTTCAATATTTGAAAAGTGAAATAAACCATTATAAGCAGACGTAAGTTATAGGCATAACAAAGATTTATAGTAATGATATGTTTGAAGTTCAAAGGAAACTTATTAAATGTGTATTGATTCTTTCTTCTAGGTATGACACTCTATCAAAAATTGTTATTAGCTTTTCCATAAAAAATCGTGAATTTATAAGATATTTTCATGTTATGATTTATCTGATCTAATTGGCTTTCTATTTTTAGATCACAAACATTCCTAGGTTGCTTTTTAACAATTAATAATATTTTTCCCCGACTAATGCTTACCTATGAATACAAAGTATACTCTAACTTGGTATTATAATCAGCTCAATTCTATTACTGGTGTACTCTCAGTATTTTATCATGTGAGTCTCTCATGCCTTCATAATTTGTGTCATGTAGAAAAAAAAAGAGCCATTATAAATATGAAACTGATTAAGAAATGAATATGATTCAAAACAAAAACTATTTTGTTGTTAAGAAAAAAATACAGATCCCCTTTAGTCCCCTACCGGTTTAACCAGAGGGGACTTTAGGTTTACCCTCCATCCGTCTGTCCGTCCGTCTGTCTGTCAGTCCGTCAGTCTGTCCGTGCACAAGAATGGATCCCGCGATAACGCAAAAAGTACTGAAAATATTTTTATGAAACTTGATATATGGATAGATGGCAGTATGGAGATTATGCACGTCTTTTTCTTTTCTTCCTATGTTGAAAATTCTGGTTGCTATGGCAACAAATAGTCTGAAAATATGGCAAATTTAACACATAAACTGGATCCAGTGATAACTCAAAAAGTACTGAAAATATTTTTATGAAACATAAAATATGGATAGATTGCAGTATGCCGATTATGCACATCTTTTTCTTTTCTTCCTATCTTGAAAATTCTGGTTGCTATGGCAACAAATAGCCTGGATTTCAAGATTTCTGATTTAATTTTTTCAGCTTTTTCACTATAAGTTCTTTATTTCTGAAGGTGTTTACTTCAAACTTTAAATATAAGTTTCTGGTCATCAACCACATCATATGTGACAAGGTTTACAACTCTAGCACAAAAATTATCTGTATTACCTCCCTTGAACTTAGAATTTTTATGGAAAAAAATGTCTTATTTAAATAACTTCTTTATTTCCTAATGTATCTACTTCAAACTTCATATATATGTTTCTTATTATCACTCAACATTTTTGAGAAGGTTAAATACTCTAGCAAGACTATTTCCAGAATTATGTCCCCCTTGAACTTAGATTTTTTTCGAGAAATTGTTTTTTTTTACTCCAACTTCTTCATTCCTTATAGGATTTACTTTAAAATCCCACATCGTAATATTATGACAAGGTTGTATAAACATAATTGCCTTACTAGGCAGGGAAACTTAACACATTACTGTGAAATAGACAAACTTAGAACTCAAAACTTCATTCATGTCATTCATTCACTGGTAAAATTGAAATCAGAATGTTGCTGGGGTTTTAACCGGTAGGGGACTTATGGATTGCTTGCAATACTATGATAATTGCTTGTTAAAAAAGGCATTATTTTCACTTTTGCTTTGTGTAAAATAATGGCTTTTATTCTGTTTTACAGCAACAGAAAGGGGGACCGAAGAAGCTGACTTTACCGTCCAAGTCAACTGATACTGACCTAGCCAAGATGCTCAGTTCTGGGTCGTTTGGAAACCTCGAGTGTTTGAGTCTTGCATTCACTCAAGTAACAAGTGCCTGTGCAGATGATCTGATAAAGCTACCGTCATTACGCTACCTGAACCTCTGGTCAACACAGGTACTTATAACATTGTCTATAACTTTGTATAACAACTGCTCTTGTCTTTGATATTAAAGTGACTCCACTGAGGTTTTTTTTTTACATGATGGGACTGGAAATACTTTTTCGATTTTTTATACCATTTGATGTAGATTTGTATCAGATAACTTGAGTACAAAATTTCAAAACATTCACATGCACTGTTTTACCAGAGTTATCAGTTTAATTGTGTAAAATTACCCAAATGTGAAAAGTTTTATACACTTTTAACTCTCTCAAAAAATTCATTTTCATTTTAATACTGTGCATATTTCTTTATCATCTTTTGCATTTCTTTCCATTTGAAGTGTCCCAGTTGATCTATGTATGAATTTGAAACACTATGTTTAGGCATTATGACCTTAGTGGAGCTCCTTTAAGCTTTGGTTGAAAACCACCGGTTCGCTGTTTGTGTGTATCTGTGTGATGTCTGGGTGTTAATCTTATTTTCTTACATACATGTTTGCACACATGAACATTTACAAATTTTGCATCATTTACTGATGTACATATAACCAACAAATGTACTGATGTACATGTACATAGAAATAACAAATGTATATTGCACAAATAAATTAATATTGCATGTTCTTATAGTTTGACAAGGGTCTATAGTCTACACTATGGCTAAAACTTGGCTGACTAACTTTAAATTTCATCTTGATACCCCCAAAATTTGTATTAGGCTGTTCCAGTGGAAACTGGACAAGTCCATTTTAGAAATCAAGCAGGTTCAGGGTTAAGAGAAGTGAAAGTCACTAAATATGGCTGTTCAAAGTAGAAATCAACATCTTTCACACAATTTTACCCTAAATGTGATTTACTCGCTGAAACATTGTAAAACATTTAAATTTTATTGGTGACACTTTCTTCTTCTTCAAATGTAACACTATGAAATCATTTGTAAAAAAAGTCGGTGAAGAATTGTAAATAACTTGAGATAAAAACATGGCATCACGTGTGACAGACTGTTCATTGTGTGTTACAGCAATAAAAGAAGGTAACTTGACACTTATCTGAACTTTGACGTCAATCTTTTCTCTATACTAGCAGCAGGGTTCTATTTGTAAAGTTTATATTACATGATGTACAACTTTAATGATCACTCTATCTCCAGGTATGTAATTGTTGAAATGGCTCAACTTGATTGATTTTACAGTAAAATTTGTGAGCAATAATGATTCACAGAGATAAATTTTGTAATGATGGTAGTAATATTGTTGTAAGCTGTGTTTTTTTAATGAAATAAAAGGAATAAATTGATAAAAGTTTAATAGTTTGATCAGCTTACATATGAGCCGCGTCATGACAAAACCAACATAATGGGTTTGCGACCAGCATGGATCCAGACCAGCCTGAGAATCCGCTCGGTCTGATCAGGATCCATGCTGTTCGCTGTCAGTTTCTCTACTTGTAATAGAGCTTGTAAGCGAACAGCATGGATCCTGATCAGACTCGGCGGATGCGCTGGCTGGTCTGGATCCATGCTGGTCGCAAACCCATTATGTTGGTTTTGTCGTGACGCCGCTCATATATAAAGTTCTTGGGGTATTAATGACGGTAATGTATTGCCATGATAACTGACCAGACCAGTGATGAATAGCTGTGATAACTTTCGGCACCAGAAATGACTGGTCATGTTTACTTGCCAATAATGAAGGGTCATGATAACTTTTGATAGCATGATAACTTTTTGATAATTTGCTAAATCAATAATGTATGGTAATGTTAAATTAACTCTTCGGGCTCAGTGGCCGTGTGGTTAAGGTTGTTGACTTAAAACCACTTGCCCGTCACTGCTGGAGGTTCGAGCCGTGCACAAGTTGTTGGATTCTATATGTGAAGCTATACAACTAGCTTACAGAACATCAACCCGAGGTCTTTATCTACCTTTAAAGCTGGAAAGTTTCCATATGACCTATACTGTGTTAGTGTGGCATAACTCTGCCCCCCCCCTCCTAAAAAAAATAACCCTTTATTTCCGAGACTAAAGCATTGATTAAGTAAGCCTTTGGCCAGTGACCAGTGCAAACCAAGAAACCAACATCAACTGGTACATCCATTCAGCCTGACCAGGGTCTTCACTTGTTACTGAAAGAATTACGCACCAGAAGGAGTTACGTAACAACCCCCCCCCCCCCCCCCCCACCCACTCACCCTTTCACCACAACTCTCAAGATATTAAGAGAAAAAACAACAGTAGTTTAGTCTGGCTTGAATAACTGACTAGTCTATTTAAGATATTTAGGGTGGACAGGTTATTTTACTTTAATCTGTCACAATTAATAGATAAAGAAAAGAGTGCAGTTCGATAATAGAGTTTACAGTTACTTACAGTTTTATTTGTAATACATGTAGATGTCATTGTGAAGTTTATGAAATATGTTACTTCTTTGTTATTTATAAATAAGATTTAAGACATGACTAATTGTTTGATATGACATCTATTTATGAAATACATGTCTATTTTAGAATCACATAGTGAGTTTGCAGTCATGCTTGTGAAAGTTGTGATATAGAAATGTCACGAATTCTTGAAAATTTCTCCTTCATCCCAAAGAAAATTAATCTAAAAAATTTTCCAATATCAAAAAGTTTGTTTCCCATTTAAAAAAAGTTTTTATTCTTTTGACTTTTTGGGGAAGAAGTTAAAGTTGTTTTTATTTGTTTTTAATACTTTTTTAGCTCGACTATTCAAAGAATAGCGTGGCTTTCCTCATCCGGAAGTTTTGTTTAGTGTCATCTTTAGTGTTACATTTTGGTTTTATGTGAAACTTCTTGTACAACATTGTATCTTCTCATCAACCACTGAAGATATTTGAGCCGCGTCATGACAAAACTACCAAAATGGGTTTGCGACCAGAATGGATCCAGACCAGCCTGGGCATGCGCACAGTCTGATCAGGATCCATACTGTTCGCTATCAGTGTCTATACTTGTTAAAGGGTTTGTAAGCAAACAGCATGGATTCTGATCAGACTGTGCGGATGCGCAGGCTAGTCTGGATCCATGCTAGTCACAAACCCATTATGTTACTCCAGTTAATAATATGAGGTCACTATCAAAGACCCATAACTATGGCATGGATTTTGACTGAATTATGGCCTTTCATGAACTTAAAAAAATTCTTGGTCGAAGTTTTGCATGCAACATCGATCTTCAAAATTACTGATGGTATTTACTTGTATTAAGATGCTTGCCCTCAGGATCATAATTGAAGGTCACTATTCAAGTTCCATAACTCTGGCATGTTTTTTGACTGAATTAAAGGCCCTTTATTTAAAAAATTTTGGTGTTTTTTTGCATGCAAAATCAGTGTTTAAAAAAAATTCACTTAAAAAAAAACTTTTTATGACCCTTTAATTTAAGGGCAAACCCAATTCAAGGCCCCAACTTTTTTATGGGTTTTTTACTGAATTATAATTTTTTGAAATTGAGGAAAAATTTTTTGGTCATTTTACATGCATATTTTCTAGGTCTCACTGATAAAATTTAAAGGGCACTATGCAAAAGGGCCGGGAACATTGCATGAATTTTTACGAATTAAAAGCCCTTTGTGAATTACAGTTAAACAGAGGGTTTGGGGGTTTCAGGGCATCCTCTAATGGCCAAAAAATTTCAAAAAAATCAAAAATTTAAAATTTTTTTTTAATTTTTAAGGGGAAAGTAAAAAGATTAAAAATTTATAATTTAAAATCAATTTTAAAGACTGATTTTCAGAGTTTTTTACCCTATTTCTTTGGTGTGGGTTTTACATTAGGGGTATATTTTCATTTTTGACCCTTTTTGGGAATTTTCTTGGGGTTGCAGGGGTTTTGGAAAATGTTTTTTTTGTTTACTTCATTTATTTTGCCCTTTTTAAAAACATTTTTGAAAATCTTCATGAAAAATTTTTTTCATATTTTTAAAATCTTAAAGAAAAAAACATGAAAACGGAAGGGAAAGTTTCTTTAAAAAAATAAAGGGGTTTAATACCCTGTTCCCCTTTTCTATTTCAGTTTTCCCATGGGTTTGGGTTTTCAGAAAAAAAATCCCAGCCCCGCAAGCTTTTTAGGTGTTAAAACCCTTTTTGAGAAAGCCCCGGGCCCCCGATAAAGGGCTGGGGCTCACTGGTGGAAAGTAGAAAATATAATAATAGAATCTCTTGTCATGGATTTAAGAAATAAAATTAAAGTGCAAGTAAGCATGTAATATAATGATAAAAAATGTAGGGACGTCATGTTTATCTGTTCAAACGGGTTCAGCGGATTTTAACCAAAAACCGGTTAGAGAATTAAATAACCGGAAACCGAGGTTAGTATAAGACCAATAAGAAACGTAAGACTGCGTTTTCACTCTATTTAAATTTGTAAATACATATGAGCCGCGTCAGGACAAAACCAACATAATGGGTTTGCGACCAGCATGGATCCAGACCAGCGTGCGCATTGCGCAGTCTGATCAGGATCCATGCTGTTTGCTTACAAACCCTATTACAAGTAGAGAAACTGATAGCGAACAGCATGGATCCTGATCAGACTGCGTGGATGCACAGGCTGGTCTGGATCTATGCTGGACGTTGGTTTTGTCTTGACGCGGCTCATATTTAAATGAACACTAACTGATACCAGGAAATGCAATTAATGTTCAGATAAGCTGCATTTTGGAAGAACTATAAAGAAATATAAGTGGGAAAAGATTGTAGAATTATTAAATTCTTTTTGGAATTTATATCACTAATAAAATCAAAAAGTTCTTGTGGAAATTCGCAAGGCCATAATAATGCTGAAGTTTTGATCTGTTATACCTTTGAAACTCATAGTTTCCATTAATTTCTTTTCTTTGATTTTCAGCCCTAAAAAATTTACGGAAGTTGAATTTGAACAGTACAAATCTGTCAGCACTTGTGTTTGAAGGACTAAAGGTAAGTTGCCGTGTTTTTGTTTTTTTTATCAATACAAGACTTATGCCTCATTACATTATGAATCATAATTTTAGGTACATGAATTATCCTATCCTAATTACTTAAATGATTTTTTTTTTGCTATTTTTAGTAACCCAAAGTC